ATTATTCAAATTTATGCACCAACCACCAAAGCCAAAGGTGAGGAAATTGAAGAAGTTTATCAACTTCTGCAGTCTGAAATTGACCGAACATGCAATCAAGATGTGTTAATTATCACTGGTGACTGGAATGCAAAAGTTGGAAGCAAAGAGGAATCACCAGTAGTTGGAAAATTTGGCCTTGGCGACAGAAACAATGATGGAACTTGCATGGTAGAATTTTGCAAGACCAACGACTTGTTCATTGCAAACACCTTTTTTCAACAACACAAATGGCGGCTCTGCACGTGGGACTTCACCAGGTGGAACACACAGGAATCAGATTGACTACATTTGTGGCAAGAGATGGTGGAAAAGTTCAATATCTTCAGCCAAAACCAGACCAGGAGCTGATTATGGAACAGACCATCAACTGCTCATATGCAAGTTCAACTTGAAGTTGAAGTCAATTAAAATAAGTCCAAGAGAGCCAAAATATGAGGTTGAATATATGCCTCCTGAATTTAGAGACCATCTAAAGAATAGATTTGATGCATTGAACAAGTAGGTAGCTGGTATCTATCAAGTTAACTAACTGACAGGTTTATTAACTAGTTACCCAGCCAAGTAAACTAGGTAACTGACAGGTTCATTAACTAGTCATCCAGTCAACTAACTAGTTAGATGACTCATTAGCAAAACTAAGTTACCTAGTTAACTCGATAGAGACCAGCTAGTTACTAGTTAACTAACCATCCAAGCAGTCAATAGCTAGTTAACTTAGTTTAGATCAAGGGCAGAATGGGTGAGAGGGGGGATGGTTCCCCACAGGCCAATGTGGGGTAGTTTCACTTTTTGGTTACCTAAGCAGTTAGCTGGGAGCTCTGGTAGCATAGTGCCTAAGGCATTTGAGTGCTAACCCAAAGGCTGGCTGTTCAAACCCATCAGCCACTCCTCGGAAGGAAGATAGGGCAATCCACTGCCCTAGTGATACTGTCTCGGAAACCCAAGGAGGGGTCGCTATGAGTCAGGTGTGACTTGAGGGCACATAACAACAACAACAACAACAACAACAACAAGCAGTTAGCTTGTTACAAAGTTACCTAGTCAGTTACCTACTTATTTATGTAGTTAATTATGCACTTCCCTACTTAATTAGCTAGTCATGTAGTCACTCAGTAAGCTAGTCAGCTAATTACTCAGCCAATCAACTGGATACTAATTTCACTAGTTAGCTAACTAGTCATTTGACAAGTTATCTACTTAACAAAATAGTTAACTGACTGGGTAACTAGTTAATAAACCAGTAAAAATTACTTAGTTAACTTGCTAGTTACTAGTTTAGTAATCATTCAGCCAGCTACTTAACTCACTAACTTAGTTTAGCTAACTAGTCATCTGTCTAGTTACTCGACTGGGTAATTAGTTAATAAACCTGCCAATTAGTTACTTAGTTAACCTGATAGGTGCTAGCTAGTTACTAGTTAACTAACCATCCAGTCAACTAGCTAATTAACTCACTAACCTAGTCATCTAACTAGTTACTTGACTAGTTATTTGATTAGTTAGGTGGTTAGTCAAACTACTACTCTTAATTAATTACCTACTCTTAATTAACGACTGTTAATTCATTTCATTATGCAGCAGCTCTGGTAGCGTAGTGCCTAAGGCACTTGACTACTAACCAGAAGGCTGGTGGTTCAAACCCACCAGCCACTCCTCTGAAGGAAGGTTGGGCAATCTACTTCCATAGAACCCAAGGAGGGGTCGCTATGAGTCCGGTCGGACTCCATGGCAGTGAGTGTGGTTTGTTTTTCTGTGGGGGGCACTCAGGCGGTAGCAGCAGTCGCTTCTCTTCAGGTTTCCTTCCCGGTTTCATCACCTGCACTTGCCATTCATTGTCCGCTTACCGGGATTTGGGTGAAGGTTTACTGCGCCGTCGTTTTAGTTCCTTATCGCCACCAGGTGGCACATAGACACTGTGAAGCTGCCCCTCTGGGTCCTAGTTGGAGTGTGGTGCCGGTGGGGAGGGAAGGAGGGTGCCAGCACCTATCTCCCTCCTGTTCCTCCCCATCTCAGTCGGCCGAGGGGACTCCGTGGGTGCGGGTTGCCAGCACCATCCTCCCAGGCCTGGTAAAACGAGC